TGATAGACATAGTAACTGTTTTGATAGAGGACATAATGGAAATATATAAAAATGCACAATATAATAGAAAAATTTGTAATGCTCTTATTGGTCGTATAGAGGCTACTCAAACATCCATTAAATATTTACAACAAAGGAAAGAGGAGGAGGATGAAACATATTATAACAACTTTGTGCATTTTACTGATATTTTGAGAAAAGTAAAAGATTTCCTTAATTATGTAACTCAACTTCATGGACATAACAAATTTCTTAATACAAATAATGTTAGAGAAAAATTTGAATTGCTTGCAAAAGAGTTTGATGGTGTTATGCAAGATTTACATTTCACACAAACTGTATCTGCTCAAAGACAAAGTGAAATTGATCAACAAAGTTTAAAGGAGGATCTTGAAGTATTAAATGATGCTATCAAGCCATTCACTCCACTGATAGCCATTGTAAATGTTTTGGTGAAGGAAATAATTAAAGTTTATGAAAATTCTCAGTATAATGAAAGAATTTGCAATGCTTTTCTTGATCGTGTAGAAGCTGCTCAATTATCAGTTGAAGCTTTACAACGAAGAAAAAAAGAGAATCTAAACACATTTCAGGATGCAACATATTATAAAAATTTTCTGCATTTTATTGAGGTTTTGAGACAAGTGAAAACTTTTCTTGAACAGGTAACTCAACTTCATGGATACAAAAGATTTTTGAATGCAAATAATGTTAAAGAAAAATTTGAATCACTTGCCAAGAATTTTGATTCTGTTATGAATGATTTACATTTCACACCAACAGTGTCTGCTCAGAGACAAAGTGAAATTGATCAACAAAGTTTAAAGGAAGATCTCAGTGAGATGACTGAGGTAAATTATTTATATATTATATTACTATTATTATTATTATCTTCTAAATTTTTTTCAATTAAAAATAATCCAGTTTATAGATGCTATTCATGGTGGCATTGTTGATAATAATAAACAACTTAATACAGCACTTCAAGAAGTTTTGATTATAAAAAGTCAAATTGATTCAATTGATAGTAATAATCCCATCAAAGCATTTCAAATATCACCAACTAAGTTAAAAGATCCTAAGTATCCAAAAAAAACTGACTGTAGAGGGAAACTACCTTATATTTTTAAGAAAATTTTGAATGATTCAATAGATGTTGCATGTAAAGCTGTCACAATACCAAATGAAGAGGAAAAGCCACAAGATTATCGGAAAGTACAGGGACTATTTACTATGTTAGGAAAGCTACGTAATTCAGATAATATAATAAAATTTTATGGTCTTTCAACTATTGATGATGCACAAGTGATGGTGCTTGAATGGGCAGAGTTGGGCAGTTTACAAGAAGTTTATGAGAAATATGATATTGGATGGCATGCTAAAGTTGAAATGGCTCTTGAAATTTGTCGTGGCCTTACA